AATTACTATCATTGGATCATTACACAATGTATACATGTATCAAAACTACATCACATTAGGCTCGGTGCAATGGCTCATACCTGTAGTCTTGACACTTTGTGAGATCAAGGCAGGAGGATTGCCTGAGGCCAGGAATTTGAGACAAGCCTAGGCCTAATAGTGATACCCTATCTGTACAAAAAAAATTTTAAAAATTAGCTGGGCATGGTGGTGTGTACCTGTAGTCCTAAGTACTTAGAAGGCTAGGAAAGGAGAATCCCTTGAGCCCAGCAGAGCAAGGTTGCTGTGAGTTATAATCAAGCCACTGTAGTCCAGTGAGGGCAACAGAGTGGAGATCCAATCTCCAAACACACACACACACATACATTATACCCCATAAATGTGTATAAAACTGTCAATGAAAAATTACTTTTAGGTTTTATTATTATCACTCTGTCACCCAGGCTTCAGTGCAGTGACCTGATCATAGTTCACTGGAGCCATGAGCTCCTGGGGTCAAGTGATCCTCCCACCTCAGCCTCCTGAGTAGCTAGAACCACAGGTATGTACCATCATGCCTGGCTAATTAAAAAAATTTTTTTTTGTAGAGATAGGGTCTCACTATGTTGCTCACACTGAACTTGAACTCCTGGCCTCAAGCAATCCTTCTACCTTCGCCTCCCAAAGGGCTGGAATTACAGGCATGAGCCACTATGATTAGAAAAAAAAATTATTAAAAAGAGTTTTTATAGAACTTATCCTTTAGCCCTGCTTTCCCAACTTTCCTGGATGTTGGTAGGTGAGGCTGAAAGTTCCAACTTGCCCAATCTTCTTTCGTTTTTTGGGGGGACAGATTTTTGCTCTTGTCACCCAGGCTAGAGTGCAATGGTGTGATCTTGGCTCTCCGTAACCTCTGCCTCCTAGGTTTGAGCAATTCTCCTGCCCCAGCCTCCTGAGTAGCTGGGATTACAGGCATGTACCACCATGCCCGGCTAATTTTTGTATTTTTAGTAGAGACAGGGTTTCACTGTATTGGCCAGGCTGGTCTCGAACTCCTGGCCTTGTGATCCACCTGCCTAGGCCTCCCAAAGTGCTGGGATCACAGGTGTGAGCCACAGCACCCAGCCACCAACTCTCTAATGTTCTATTATCTGGTTTTTCAGTTGACTGCCCCTATCCTGGGCTACCTAGGAGTCATGCCCTGAGTCATGTCATTAGCATAAGTGCAGATGTAATCCAAAGGGACACATTATGAATAAGAAAAGATAATCCTGTTTGTCAGGAAATTTCAAGGGTTTTAGGAGCTCTGTGACGGGAACCAGGGACAAAGACCTGATACATTTCTTATAATATCACAGGACTATTTCCCTCAGTATGACTTTAAAAAGGTTCAGTTTTTATGATGCTTAGCTTCCCCCATGATCAGGGTGACCCTATTTGTAGTAAGAAAGGGCAGAACAGCAGGACAGTTGATAGTCAGTTTTCAGGACACTGGCATTCTTTATTCTGTTACCAAGCATACCATTAACAGAAAGGACACAGTGCAATTCATTAGCTAGGTTTGCATCCAAGACTTGGAAAAAAATGAAAGAGTATTAAAAGTGGGTAGAAACTTTGAAAGGAAAATAAATCTCGGAACTCCCAAGTCACTAAGCCAAAGGGAAAAGTCAAGCTGGGAACTGTCGGACAAACCTGCCTCTCATTCTATTCCTGAATAAGATAGTTACAAAGATTTGTTTAAAAGCTACATATCTCTCCCACAATTTGCCCATAAGGAAATTCCTTGTGGACAAAGGATAGACAAACTCAAAATCATCCTTCTGCTCATATGAGACAAATGTATATCTGATTGCTTTCCTATTGTTTCACTAAGCAAGACTAAGGCATAAGTGACTATTCCTGTAAATTGTGTATTCAGTGAAAGACTAATCAGAAACTCAAAAGAATGCAACCATTTGTCTCTTACCTATGACCTGGATGCCCCCTCCCCACTTTGAGTTGTCCCGTCTTTCTGGACCAAACCAATGTACATCTTACATATATTAATTAATGTCTCATGTCTCCCTAAAATGTATAAAACCAAGCTGTATCCTAACCACTTTAAGCACATGTTGTCAGGACATACTGAGGCTGTGTCACAGGTGCATCCTTAACCTTGGTGTAAGAAACATGGCTACAATGAAGCCAAGCAGGCATAGGCCGAGGTAAACATCCTGCATGACTCATATATATAACAGGTGCATAATAACACTTGTTATATAATCACAGCCATGTAGCCATAACATGGGAAGCTTCATCACTCAGCTCAGATCCACTATTGTCTGTAAAATGTACAACTACCCTGCTGATGCTATACAGGTGCACCCACAGAAAGAGAGAGAGGCAGAGCTGTCTGTCTTGCAGACAGACAGCAGGAAGCCGGGACACCGTTTGGCTTGCTTGCACCCAGAGGGAAAGAGTTAAGCTACTGACCTTGATGGGAGAGCTGGCCGTGCAACTGTGTGTGGGAGCAGCTGGAGCAGGTAGCCGAGACAGACAGTGTAAGAGAGCTGCTGAATAAAATCGTCTTTCATCTGCCTACACCCTCACCACCCGAGTGTTCTTTTAGCTATCTGCCACTCATCCACCCACTCCGTTCCAACCTCAGCATGGGCTGGAACATGACCCTAGACCTGACACTTGGCAAAATAAATTTTAGAAATTGATTGAGACTTGTCTCAGATGCTTTTTGGTTTACAAATTGGTAACCACAAAGGGACCCAGTGGAGGTGGCCCTGACCTTTGCCAAATCTCCTATTGGTGCCTGGTACCAGCTTGAACTATCTTTATAGTTCAAACCAATACCACAATTTCCTGAGGCCTGGGAGCTCCCCTCCCTCCAGAGAATCCCTAATCTCCCAAAATTTGGTTAAGATCTAAAATAAATTTTGCTGTACGCTCCCTTTCTGGAGTTTTACTTGCTTCCCACAAGGAAGGCAAGTTTTCCTGCTTCCATGACAGTGGAAGGCAGGTAACTCCTTTCTGGAGTTTGAGCTTGCTTCCAACAAAGAAGACAAGTTTGAGTTTCTTCCTGCTTCTAGGATGGTAGACAGCAGTCTTCAGCCTGAGACCCATTTCTAGGTAAATGACTGAATTTTTTTTTTTTTGTCTTAGAAATTCTCCTCAATAACTAAAGGTTAAAATTGACAACCAGCTGGTCTTAATTTCTCCTAACCATGAGAACGCTCAGTGATCATATTATTGGGGTTTTCTGTTATTGTTTCAGTCTTTCTCCCATCAGATTTGACCAATTCTACCCAATTTGGTCAAATCTGAATGAGAATTCCAAATTATGGGGAACAAGGCCTCTGAATTTCAGGCTAAAATTCCTTGCAGCTGCAAAAAGACGAAAAAGAAAACCTGTTTAGTTTCTATGCCTGCTTTCTGTCTTACTTTTCTTTCACCCTATTTCTCCTTCCCCTTAGCCATCTTCAACCAAGAAAAAAATCTAGAGAAGGCTTCTAATGACTCAAACCCCTCAAAGAACTCAAAACGAAGGCACTATTCATTCCTCTTTAGAGTGTTCTCTTTGTGGCGTTCCAAGAGTCATGGGCAGATTCTTTGTAGGTCCAAAGCTCTGCTCTCCTATATATTGCATTACCTGACCTCTTTGGCTTTTGGTGGTACCAGAGATTACATTGTACTGTAAGAGGATTCGACCTTAGCATGTGTAATGGCAAACGAGAGCTACAAAGTTAGGAATGGCTGAGGACAGTTTACAGGAAGCGGTCTCAGCTGAGTTTTTTTCCTCCTAGGAAGTTGTTTAGGATCATAATTCTAGTTCAGAGGTTCATTCTAAAGGGGCTTCTTCATGGCCTTTCCTCCTGAAATTAATCTCAATTGGTTTGTCTGCATATTTGCATGAGGAACTGAACTGTTGTTTTCACAGATAAATGAGAGACTGAGTTTCCTCAGCTCTGAAACGAAAGGGCATTTTGCTCCTCCCAGCTGAAAGGCGCTCCTGGGTGATGAGTGGCAGAAAGAAGCTTAGGGTGCTCTGGACACGCAGAGTTGTCTCAAAATCAGACTGATTTGGGGAGGGTGGTTGAGGAATGGCTGACCCGGAAAGATGACTCTTAAGGTAGTTCTTTGATTACAAAAGTACTGCATGCCCATTGTTGCAATAAGTAAGCCAAGCTTGTTGAAAGGAGAGACTGGTATTATAAGCAGAGTGCCTCTTTACCAAGTAACAGAGTCAACAGAAAGAACATGGAATACTGAAGAGACAGAAAGCAGTTCTAGCCTGGGCAACACAGCACAACCTCATCTCTACAAAAAATTTTTAAAAAATAGCTGGGTGTGGTGGTGAGTGTCTTCTGTGGTCACAGCTACTCAGAAGCCTGAGGCAGGTGAATCGCTTGATCCCTGGAGGTAGAGGTTGCAGTGAGCAGAGATTGAGCCATACTACACTTCAGCCTGAGTGACACAGTGAGGCCCTGTCTCAAAAAAAAAAAAAAAAAAAAAAGAAAGTAGGTTTCAGCCTACACAGTAGTATGGTGCAAGAAAGAGTGACAGAGTATATGTGATTAGAGAAAGATCAGTCAGGGTTTGAACTTTACCCTGAGGGCTATGGAGAACTATGGAAGGATTTTGAGTATGGGGCTGACATGCTTAGATGTGTGCTTTAAGAAAGTTTGGTATTCCAACAGCAAGGAAGTAAAGTGACATTGGGGAACCAGGAAACCGGGGCAATATCAGAGGAGGCAGAGCCTTTGTGTAATATGACAATCCAGAGGAAGCACCCTCTGGTCAATCGTTAGCCAGGAGAGGGCACAAACAAGGTAGCTTTTTGTGATGCACTACCCCAGATGTGGCAGCCAATCTAAAGGGCATGCCTTTTTGAAAACTGTACAGCAGTGCCCACTGGGCATGAGAATTACACAAAAGAGCCCTTCCACTGGGCTAATGCAGCCCTGTAAGGCTTACTTTGGTACAGCCCAACCCCCTGACTTGGTCTGGTGGCACATGCCTTGTACAACTATGCACATCCAATCTAGAGTCAGATCACTTAGGTTTGAATCCCAACTGTGTGACCTTGGGAATAGTACTTATAACCTGCTCTGTCTCCACTTCCTCATCTATAAGATGTACCCTAAAGCTACTGTATGGATTAAATGGCAATAATGAATATAAAGCATTTAATGGGGTGCCTGGCACAAGGTTAGCAAGTGTTCAAAAACTCTTTAGTGCTACTATTGTTTTCAGGAAACTTCTTCTAAAATATGTTTTAAGAAGTAAAACTAGTTTTGAAGCAAGGCTTGCAGAACGCTGTTGGCTTTCTTACCACTGGAGTCTGTTTCAGAATCAGAGTCACTGTCACTATCTTCAGAATACTTCTTGTGTTTTCTTTTTGAAGATTTTTTCTTTCTCCTTCTCTTGGACCTTTCTTTTGAATGGCTAGACTTCTTCTTCTTCTTTCTTTCTTCTAAGAAAATACAAATAAAAAGTTATATTCTAAAAAATTATTTCTCAACATCAAAAGAAAAAGATGATGGGCAATTTGAGTAAAAGCAAAGTCTAATGTTCAACTATTTACAAACTGATTTTTTAGGTGGGGCGCAGTGGCTCACACCTGTAATCCCAGCACTTTGGGAGGCCAAGGTGGGTGGATCACGAAGTTAGGAGTTCAAGATCAGCCTGACCAACATGGTGAAACCCCATCTCTACTAAAAACACAAAAATTAGCTGGCCGTGGCTTGTGCCTGTAATCCCAGCTACTTAGGAGACTGAGGCAGGAGAATAGCTTGAACCTGGGAGGCAGAGGTTGCAGTGAGCCAAGATCACACCACGGCACTCCAGCCTGGGTGACAAAGTAAGACTCCATCTCAAAAAAACAAACAAAACCCCAAAAAAACCTGGATTTTTTTAAACCTCTCAATAAAATAGCTTTGTATTTTAAAAATACTCTCTGGGTTTTTTCTTTCTTTTTTTTTCTTTTAAATACCTTCCGAAGTAGAAGCTGAAGTAGTGCTTTTCTTTGGCTCTTCATCCTCTACTGGTGTATGTTCATCAGAACTGAATTTAAACAAAATGGTTATAAGAATTAGGAAAGTGATGAGATATGGACCATGGCGTGTAAAAATATGAACCCCAAATTTTTCAGTAACAGCACTGATTGTCCAAGAACCATTAAAAGCAAGCATTGGCGATCCTGAGGCAGAACTTGGGAATCAAAAAAACCAAAACAACAACAATAACAACAAAGCAAGCACTGGACTACTTTCTTAAACATGGAGTTCAAGGGTCTACTGCCTTTGTAACACTTTAGAGTTTACAGAGTGCTATTTAAACAAAGCAGCATGGAGGATTTAGATTTTTCAGAAGAAACCATAGGGAAAAAGTAGAGAAACAAGAACCATAAGGAAAGATTAAAGAAACTGGATAAAAGAAGGTTAAAGAAAGACTTCATAATTTTATTCTAAGCACATAAAAGACAAATGGTAAAGCAGCAACTGTTCTGTCTCCTCAGAGCAAGAACCTAACAAACTACAGTCTAAAGAGATTTTGATTTGCTGCAGAGAATTGTAAAAATGAGTATTATTCAAATTCTACAATAGTTTAGAAAAGGAGTTTCCACATCATATAATCTTTTCCTCTGAAGATCACACTTGCAGTAATTGAAATATTGTCTAGAAAATTATTTTTAGAGTTCCTTCCAACTCCAATTCAATGCATTCAGGTTCTTCAAGCATTTTCTTTTTTTATTTTAAACAGAGACAGGGGTCTTGCTATGTTGCCCAGGCTGGTCTTGAACTCCTGGGCTCAAGGAATCCACCTGCCTTGGCCTCCCAAAGTGCTAGGATTATATGCATGAGCCACTGCACCTGGCCTCTTCAAGCATTTTCTAAATGTATCTGTAAGAACAGGTTTCAGGACGGGCACGGTGACTCACACCTGTAATCTCAGCACTTTGGGAGGCTGAGGTGGGCGGATCACGAAGTCAGGAGTTCGAGACCAGCCTGGCCAACATGATGAGATCCCATCTCTACGAAAAATACAAAAATTAGCTGTGTGTGGTGGTGCATGCCTGTAGTCCCAGCTACTAGGGAGGCTGAGGCAAGAGAACTGCCTGAACCTGGGAGGTGGAGGTTGCAGTGAGCTGAGATTGCACCACTATACTCCAGCCTAGAGACAGAGCAAGACTCTGTCTCAAAATAAATAAATAAATAAAAATTAAAAAAAAGAACAAGTTTCACATAGCAATGCTTTATTATCCAGTCATAAATTACAGGTTTACCTGTGAAGCACATTGTCTCAACCTAAAGTTGGCACAGAAATAGAGGAGAGGGAAGAAGAAACTTATGAGTAGCATCAGAGAAAAAAGAAAAAGCATGAAGCCTGCAGACAGTATTGGATATAGGAATATTAACTAAAAAAAACCATACTGGTATATTCATTTAAAAAAGTTTCTTTGTAGGCCGGGTGTGGCAGCTCACACCTGTAATCCCAGCACTTTGGGAGCCTGAGGCAAGTGGATCACGAGGTCAGGAGTTTGAGATCAGCCTGGCCAACATGGTGAAATCCCGTCTCTACTAAAAATACAAAAATTAGCTGGCGTGGTGGCAAGCGCCTGTAATCACAGCTACTCAAGAGGCTGAGGCAGGAGAATCACTTGAACCTGGGAGGCGGCGGTTTTGGTGAGCCAAGACTGCGCCATTGTACTCCAGCCTGGGCAACAGAGTGAGACTCCCTCTCAAAAAAAAAAAAAAAAAATCTCTTTGTAAGGCTAACATCTGACATGCAATCTTCTACTTAGTTGAGAAAAAACAATTTAAAATAATAGGTGTATTATTTAACAATGAACCTTTCTATTAACGGGAAATTCACGCCCCCTGAATTATTTTAGATTATGCTAAAATCTACTAGCAACATGTTTTAATCTTTACATATGTTCTATGTTTTTAAAACTTAAGGGGTAGAAGAACAAAAATCACAAGAAAGAAGAAAAATATGAGATATATTTAAAGTTCTTCACTTAAACATTTTGACAATACACTCAAAATTTAAACACATGTTATAACATTTTAAAAAGATATTTTTAAATCACTTACTCTGGTTCAGGATTCTTTGGAGAAAGTCCCCATACTTCAGGAGCTCCCAATTCTCCAATTCTCTCTCTCTCACTTAATCTCCTAGCAGAAAAAGACATGTAAATTATAACTCAATGGCTGAGTTGTTTCCTAAATATACAATCCAATTCAATAGGAGTCTAGTTAAGCCTTTTTCCCCTTTACATTTTGAACATGAATAAAAACTTAGTTTAAATAAAAACTCATCACTTAAGGTCTGATGTTCTGATGATACTATCAAATGGCACAGACTATAGAAATGATGGTCTGGGTGACTGTCAAGTGCATCCCTTCTGCTGAATGCATGACTTAGCTCTTAACTGCTTATTTCATCATCTGTAATATGTGACAGAAACAGTTTCACATTCGGAAATAACTTCATTTGTTTACAGATTTACGAAAGGTGAAGAGAAGTCTCCTTTGATTTGGTCAAACCTTCGGTTTTCAGAAACCAAGGAATTAATGAAGAAAATACAAATGATGCATTAGGCGTAGAAATCAACTGAAGTTCTGAAAATGAAAGAACAGCTTTTTTTTTTTTTTACTGGAGTGCAGTGGTTCGATCTTGGCTCACTGCAACCTCCACCTCCCGGGTTCAAGCAATTCTCCAACCTCAGCCTCCTGAGTAGCTGGGATTACAGGCACGTGCCACCACACCTGTCTAATTTTTGTATTCTTAGTAGAGATGGGGTTTTACCATGTTGACCAGGCTGGTCTCAAACTCTTGACCTCATGATCCACCCACCTCGGCCTCCCAAAGTGCTGGGATTATAGGCATGAGCCATCACACCCAGCTGGAAAAAAAATGCTTTTTATTTTTTGTAGAGATGAGGTCTTGCTTTGTTGCCCCAGCTAGTCTCGAACTCCTAGCTTCAAGCAATCCTTCCGCCTCAGCCTCCCAAAGCATTGGGATTACAGGCATGAGCCACTGCACCTAGTTAAAAAGTTTTATTTAACAAAAACTATACTCAGGGCCAGGTACGGTCGCTCATGCCTGTTAATTTCAGCACTTTGGGAGGCCAAGGTCGGTGGATCACCTGAGGTTAAGAGTTTGAGACCAGCCTGGCCAACATGGTGAAACCCTGTCTCTACTAAAAAAAATACAAAAATTAGCTGGACGTGGTGACATGCGCCTGTAGTCTCAGCTATTCAGGAAGCTGAGGCTAGACAATCCCTTGAACCCGAGAGGTAGAGGTTGCAGTGAGCCAAGATCATGCCACTGCACTCCAGCCTGTGTGACACAGCAAAACTCTGTCAAAAAAAAAAACCAAAAAAACACCAAAAAACAACAACAAAAGAACTATACTCAATGAGATACAAGGTTTGTTCCCTCTTAGTTCCTTTTTGCAAAAGGAGCGCATTTTCTATCTAGTCTCTGAAGGACACTAAGCTTTACTTCTTTTGTTTTATGCCTGTGGTTTCTTGTTTTAATGTTTGCTATTACTCATAAACTAAAAACAAAACAAAACAAAGACTAAGGCTAATTCCCTCAAAGTTTAGCTGCTTTTGATTCCCCCCCCCTTTTTTTTTTGAGACAGAGTTTCGCCCTTGTTGCCCAGGCTAGAGTGCAATGGCACAATCTTGGCTCACTGCAACCTCTACCCCCCAGTTTCAAGCAATTCTCCTGCCTCAGCCTCCTGAGTAGCTGAGATTAAAGGCACCCATCACCACCCAGTTAATTTCTGTATTTTTAGTAGAGACAAGGTTTCACTATGTTGGCCAGGCTCGTCTTGAACTCCTGACCTCAGGTGATCTGCCCGCCTCGGCCTCCCAAAGTGCTGGGATTACAGGTGGGTGTGAGCCACCTCGCCCAGCAACTCCATTTGTTTTTTAAAATCCTTACAAAATAAATATAATTGGAATGAGTGTTTAAATAAATTGTTTTTGCTTCCTTAATCAGGGGAAAGGTATAACTATGCAGAGTAAGATTGAGAGGGTTTCTGGCCTGAAGTAACAGACAATCTAAAAGGTGACATACTTATAGCCGTACTTGGAATTTACGGATATGGGGGGAGGAAGGTCTACCAGACTGTTAACAGCAGGAAGTTCTGTTGTCATACCTGTTGCCCCCTGGTTTCATCTGCATTGTTAAGATAAATTATTGGCCGGGCGAGGTGGCTCATGCCTGTAATCCCAGGACTTTGGGAAGCTGAGGCAGGCAGACCACCTGAGGTCAGGAGTTTGAGACCAGCCTAGCCAACATAGCAAAACCCTATCTCTACTAAAAATACAAAATTTAGCTGGGTGTGGTGACACATGCCTGTAATCCCAGCTGTTCAGGAGGTTGAGGCAGGAGAATCACTTGAACCCGGGAGGCAGAGGTTGTGGTGAGCCGAGATCACATCACTGCATTCCAGCCTGGGAGACAGAGTGAGACTCCATCTCAAAAAAAAAAAAAAAAAAAGATAAATTATTTATTTTCTAAATAAACATATGCAAGTTTCATCCAAGCAGTTCTGACATCTTTTGGTGAGGATTCTCTAAGAAGAAACCATTTACTTTTTGATTGACATAGCCTGTGGATACTTTTCCGGAAAATTTACTTTGGAGAGATAGGTCTCCAACCTAACTCAGGACTGTTTTTACTGTTTTTACTCCCATACATGAAACATTAATAGCTAACACTAATGCAATAATTATGTTCCAGGCACCTAATTATTACAATCCCCAAATCCTTAGTACTTATTTTATCCCCTTTTTAATGATGAACAAATGGAGCTCAGAGAGGTTAAGTAACTTGACCAAGGTCACACAGCTATTAAGTGGCAAATAAGGGATTCATACTCAGTCTGATTCTGGAGCTTGTCCTTTTCCTTTCTTTCTTTCTTCCTTTTCTTTTTTTTTGAAACAGGATCTCCCTGTCACACAAGCTGGAGTGCAGTGGTAAGATCATGGCTCACTGCAGCCTGACCTCTCCAGCTCAAGTGATCTCCCACTTCAGCCTCCCCAGTAGCTGAAACTACAAGCACGTGCCACCATGCCCAGCTAATTTAAAAAAATTTCTTTGTAGAGACCGGGTATCCCTATATTGCCCAGGCTGGTCTTGAACTCCTAGATTCAAGTGATCCTCCTGCCTTGGCCTCCTAAAGTGTTGGGATTACAGGCATGAACCTCTCCACCCAGCCAAAAATGGATAGTTTTAAGGAGAAAAGAAAAGGTTCATAATTATTGTTGTGTCTTATGTTTTCTAACTGTTAAATTATGTCTCAGGCACTGTACTAAGTTATTTATGTAAACATATGCTTAAAAATGAGAAAATTAGAAATATTACAGGCATTGAGGGACAGGTTAAAGTTCCAACAGTTGGGAGAAGTCTTGATTCTTTTTCTTCCGGCAGTGGGAGGTAATGAAGTATGGTGATGAAAAGGACAGGCTCGGCCAGCCAGGCATGTGGTCACACCTGTAATCCCAGCAATCTGGGAGGCCAAGGGAGGAGGATCACTTGACCCCAGGAATTTGATACCAGCCTGGGCAACAGGGTGAAACCCTGTCTCTACCAAAAAATACAAAAATAAGCCGGGCGTGGTGGTGCACGCCTATAGTCCCAGCTATAGGACTATAGGAGCCCAAGGAGGTTGAAGCTCCAGTGAGCTAAGATCGCACCACTGCACTCCAGACTGGGCAACAGAGCTAGACCCTGTCTCAAAAACAAAACAAAACAACCCCCAAACTATGCATTCTTCCATTCCAATATTCACTTTCATTAGAGGTCTAGTCTCATCCTGGCATCACTTTTCGTGGTCAAGGTTGAGACCACTTAACAAGGCTTCTCAAGGTAGGGTTATCTACAGCTTATCAGATCACTTTCCCTACAGGCATCTAATCGTCCTGTCTGAGGGGAAGGTTTATTTCCTATCCAACTTAAAACTCTTGATTTCATCCCTTCCTAATTCCCCACAAAACACTTCTACATATATATCCTGTTATCTCAGACCTGTGAGTTCCTTCAACAAGCAATGGTTGAGCGCCTATTAAGTACTAGGCACGTAAAATTCTGTGATCAGAACTCTTCTCTGATCACAGGCTCCTCCACGAGCTCAGTCTAGTGGGGAATACAAATATGTTCACGAATGATAATGACACAACCAAGGAAAGGCTACAATTTTGGTAGGTCTGAGGCTGTCAGCATTATCTGCTAACAAGACAAGAGGCGGAAGCGGGTAGCGGGAGAATAGGGTACCATATGAAGGGGCCTGAGGGTAAGGGAAAACGTAACGGAAGAAAAGGACGAATAAAGGGTTGCCGTGGGTGGATTAAAGAAAGGAATGAAAATGGGCGCAAGGCAAGCAGAGTGAGCGAAATGCGAATAGTCAGAAGCGGAATGAATGATAGATCGGACTCCAAAGGCACGTAGGCTCGTACAAGAGAAAGTGCGGCGGTCTCACTCACTTCTGCCGCAGGCTCTCCTCCCTCTCCTTGTCGAGGAGGCTAGGCCAAGGCTTGTCGCTCCCGTAGGGGCGCGAGTAGCTGCCATAATAGACTGACGAGGAGGCAGAAGCGAAGGGGATGCCCCGGGGCGCAGAGGGCCGCTCTCGAGAACGCGACCGCGAGCGTGAGCGGTAGGACTGGTTTCGGGAGCCTTGGCTGAGGCCACCTAGCTGATGGCTGAGTCCATTCCGGTCCCCGGACCGAGAGCAAGAGTGCGAGCGAGAGCGGCGGCCCCGCGGGGAGCGGGCAGATTTGCTGGGCTTCGGACTCTTCGACGAACTGCGACGTCTTCCTCCCGAACCCGAGACCTCCCCATCCGGGCTGCGCGAGCCGGACACCGGAGCCATTGCTACTGGGTGAGCCCAGCAGCCGTGGGAGAAGGGGGCGCTCTCGCGAGCCTAGGAAGAGCTCTGTTTCCTTGGGTCCCGAGACCCGCCACTGCGGAACACCCCCAAATCTGAGGAAACCTTGCAAACAGTTCCCTGTACGTCTGCAAAACCCTTCCCCGGACCTACGCATGCGTCGCCGACCGGAAGCGATATGTGTATCGATATAAATAAGCCGGTGGGGCAACTAGATTGCATGCATCCTTCCAGTTCCGAGTGAGGCTCCTCAAGCCTAAGGAAGAGACCAAATCCTTTCTCAGCCTTGAACTTGAAACACCTGAAAGGAAGTATATTTCATTGAGTATATATTTCTTTTTTTTTTTTTTTTTTTTTTTTTTTTTTTTTTTTTTTTGAGACCGAGTCTCGCTCTGTCGCCCAGGCTGGAGTGCAATGGCGCGGTCTCGGCTCACTGCAACCTCCGCCTTCGGGGTTCTAGCGATTCTCCTGCCTCAGCCTCCCGAGTAGCTGAGATTACAGGCACCCACCACCATGCCGAGCTAAGTTTTGTATTTTTAGTAGAGACGGGGTTTCACCATGTTGGCCAGGATGGTCTCGAACTCCTGACCTCCTGATCCGCCCGCCTCGGCCTCCCAAAGTGCTGGGATTACAGGCGTGAGCCACCGCGCTCAGCCGAGTATATTATTTCAAACACAGTATACAGTATACATTTCAATGAGTGGCTGTATGAACAACAGTTAATTCTGCTTGTGTTTCATGTGCTTTCTGTGTGTAATTATATATAAATATGTGTGTGTGTGTGTGTGTGTGTGTGTGTGTGATGTATGAAAGTATGAATGTGTCCGTGCGCGGTGGCTCACGCCTATAATCCCAGCACTTTGGGAGGCCGAGGCAGGCAGATCACAAGGTCAGGAGTTCGAGACTAGCCTGACCAACATGGTGAAACCCCGTCTCTACTAAAAATACAAAAATTAGCCGGGCGTGGTGGCGCATGCCTGTAATCCAAGGTTCCTGGAAGGCTGAGGCAGGAGAATCTCTTGAACCCAGGAGGCGGAGGTTGCAGTAAGCCGAGATCGCACCATTGCACTCCAGCCTGGGTGACCGAGCGAGACTCCATCTCAAACAAAAACTAAAACGAAAGTATGAATGTAAATTTTCTTTTTCTTTCCAATACCAAGCAAATAAGGAGGACTTTTCGTGACTGGGGATGAGCTATGATGTCTAAGCCCCATATTGCCCTGTTTGCTTAAACGGCACAAATTTTGTTAATGACTCGGGCCTGATAAACGCCAATTAAGTTTCCAGCCTAGAGAACAAAAACTGCTTACTTATCCCTTAGCCACCTGTCTCCACCAGTATGCCCCAGCAAAAGGAGGTTTTTGGTTTTTTTGTTTTGTTTTGAGACTGGGACTCACTCTGTTGCCCAGTATGGAGTACAGTGGCCGGATCTCGGCTCACTGCAAACCTCCACGTCCTGGGCTCAAGCAATCCTCCCACTTCAGCCTCCTGAGTAGCTGGGACTACAGGCGCCTGCGACACCAAGCCCGGTTAATTTTTTTTTTAGGTAGGTGGGGGAGAGATAGGGTTTCACCTTGCTGCCCAGGCTGATCTCGAACTCCTGGGCTCAAGCGATCCGCCAGCCTCGGCCTCCTGAAGTGCTGGGATTATAGGTGTGAGCCACCGCGTCCGGCCTGTATTTTTTTCCCCAAGAAGTGTTATTTAATTTTTTAATTTTTGAGGCAGGGTCTCACTCTGTCACCCAAGCTGGAGTGCAGTGGCACGATTTCAGCTCACTGCAACCTCCGCCTCCCAGGTTCAAGCGATTCCCCTGCCTCAGCCTCCTAAGTAGCTGGGACTACAGGCCGCGCCACCACGCCCAGCTAGTTTTTTGTATTTTAGAAGAGCCGGGGTTTCACCATGTTGGCCAGGATGGTCTTGATCTCCTGACCTCGTGGTCTACCTGACTCGGCCTCCCAAAGTGCTGGGATTACAGGCATGAGCCACCGCGCCCGGCTCAGAGCCATCTGTTTGTGCCGCACTGGCTAACTCTCAGAGGATGCCCTATTCACAGCTCCCCTTTACTAAATAGCTACCTAAAAGTGAACATCAGCTCTGGGCCCAGTCATTGCCATGGGTTTCTTTCTCGCCTAGGTTTCCACAGCCTCCTTTTCCATTTCTGATTTTAAAACATCTTTTGTTTCATCTTTTTTCCCCTTGTTCAAAAAAGAAATGGACAAAGATTCTTCCTGAGATTCTTCCTTGCTTTCTACCTTGCTTCCATTTTTTTTCTTCTTAATCCAGAATTCTTGGGCCTAGCATAGGAAAAAGTCATGCTCCAAATCTGCACATCTCATAGTGGCCCTAATTTTGTCTGGGTGCTGTGCTTGGGATGAGTCTAGGCAAATCAGTTGTGGTGCCTATGCCTGAATGTCACCACTTCAATCTTCTGTGTCTTTTGTTTGTGAAAGTAAGAGCGGTGTATGAGGCATCTTTTGTATTCCCAGAATCTAAAATACTGGCATATACATGTTAGGAATTCACACATTCACTTTACGATCTACCCTTTGGCTGGATGTGGTAGCTCATGCCTGTAATTCCAGCACTTTGGAAGGCTAAGGTAGGAGGATTGCTTGAGGCCAGGAGTTTGAAACCAGCCTGGGTAACAAACTGAGACCTGGTCTCTACAAAAAATAATTTTAAAAAGATGTACACTTTGTATGGGGGAACCCAGCCCATTGGTGTGTAGTTGATAATTAAATTTTGTTTATACTGTGTTACCAGAAGAGGGTGTCCAGGTTCCTGGGTTTTGAACAAAGAATTGGACAAAACACAGAAACAAAGCAATGAAACAAGCCACAAAAGCAGAAATGTATTGAAAACGAAAGTACAGTCCACAAGGTGAAGCAGACCCAAGCAGCCGCTGAAGGGCCCAGTTACAGAATCTTCGCTGGTCCAAGTACCCCCTAGAGGTTTTCCACTGGCCACTTGATGTTCACCTTATGTAAATGAAGTGGTGGCCTGCAATCAGTCTGATTGGTTGCAGAGAGCAAAAAAAGAGCCAATCAGAGATACTTTCAATTTCCCATCTGCCAGTGCAGAAAAGATGGGGGTTTGCAAAGGGAGTAGCCACTTGTCATTTTGTTACTTAGGCGTGGAAAGTTAGAGTTTTCCTTTTAATTTAGTTCTAGGAAGTCATTGTGAAGTGGCCTTAGATTCCCTGCCTCCAGATCTTATTCTTCTGCCTCAATTGCACTCGGGTTCCCTGCCCCATAGTTCCGTGCTGATATCTGGGATATGAAGTGTGATACTGACTGAGGCAAAATATAAATTACCAATTTCGAAACAAATACTAATTGCATAATAACAGTTTCCAAGCTGTTAGACTGCTTTCCTAAAAAAGCACAGAAGTGGCTTTTGCTCATGGGTTATGTTTTCGGTTGGCAGATTTTGCTTTGCAAAAAGATTGGGAGAAATGAGAACTGTTGCAGATGAAGCATATTTGGCCTTTTCTGAAGAGGGTACAAATTGTATCAACCTCTCAAGGCCTGGAAGTGTTGACACAAGGACACTTACTACCTTCAAGAGAGGTTGATTACTTTTCCTAGAGGTAAAATGACACAGTGCTTCAGCTTGAGTGGGATCCTTGAGTTTTCAGCCCTTTGAAGGAGAGTTTTGTGCAGGATGGAGGTGGTTAAGTGCTGCGGAGCTGAACCTGGGTTTGTGTGTACTGTCCATAGGACTCAGGACCCAGGGGAGGGAATGATCATTAAATGGTTAGTCTTCTCTGGGATGAACTCTGTGTGCCTTCTTGGGGAGACTACTCTACTGCTCTGGGTCTGCACCCTGAATCTGTAAAATGAAGGGACAAGGATCCATTCTCCTTGAGACACGCTACTGCCTTGGCTTAATGGGCTGGAGTAAAAGGAAAGTTTCCAAGGAATCCCAAAATAAAGCTGATGTCCTGTAGCATTCTTAGAATGAGGGATATGTAGTGAGGGTTGTGTTATAGCAACTGACTTCAAAGGATGGCCACTTTTTTTTTTTTTTTTAAGACAGGGGTCTTGTTATGTTGCCCAGGCTGGCATTGAACTCTTGGCCTTGAGTGATTCTCCCACCTCAGCCTCCTGAGTAACTGAGTCTACAGGTCCATACCACTGCCCATGGCTTGTCATCTAGGCTGGGTGCACTGATGCCATTTCAGGCCACTGCAATCTCTACCTCCTGGGTTCAAGTGATTCTCATGCCTTAGCCTCCTGAATAGCAGGGATTACAGGCATACACCATTACGCAGGGCTAATTGTTGTATTTTTAGTAGAGATGAGGTTTCACCATGTTGGCTATGCTGGTCTCCAACCCCTGGACTCAAGTGATCTTTCCCGCCTCAGCCTCCCAAAGTGTTGAAATTACAGGCATGAGCCATTCATTGTGCCCGGCCACTTTTCAGAGTCTTTAAAACTCCAGTCCATGCCCTGGACTATAGGAAGTCGAATGAGACCTACTTGGGCTTAACAATTAGGAAGTCCATTGAAGGAGTCTATTTAAGCCCCACTATTTCACTTCAAGGAGTCCAATGTTTCTTAGAGGAGTCACCACAGCACCAAATGACTGCATGGGAAAATACCGCAACCACAGGTGTGCTCAGAGCATGCACAGTTGCAAGCACAACACCCTTTGATTAGAATTCAGACAAATGTATTTTTATTCTTTTGAAAACAACTCAGAACAAACTCTATTCCCCTAGTTTGTATATGTTTATTGTAACCCTTCTCTTTATTTAAAAAGTCATTTTTTCATACCTGTCTTGAAGGAGACATGTTTTTGATGTGAAACAACCCTAGAAATTTCAAAAAGCAGACCAGGCACAGTGGCTCACATCTGTAATCCCAGCAATTTGCGAGGCCAAGGCAGCCAGATCACTTAGATCAGGAGTTCAAGACCAGCCTGGGCAACATGGTGGAATCCCATTTCTACTAAAAAATACAAAAATTACCTAGGTGTGGTGACTGGCACCTGTCGTTCCAGCTACTTGGGAGGCTGAGGCAGGAGAATCACTTGAACCCAGGAGACAGAGGTTGCACTGAGCCGAGATTGGGCCAGGAACCAGACTTTGTCTCAAAGAGAGAGAGAGAGAGAGAGAAACTTCAGAAAGCAAAACCCAAAATTTTTT